AACACTGCTTAGTGAGAATCATTTTGAATAGCATAAACAAAACTATTCTGGAAATATCCTATAAAAAACATACAAATTAAAAGTTAGGCAATTATGAATAATAAATATTAACTCACAGTTAACTAGGTACATTATACATTATCTTCCTTTGTTGTCTGATGTTTTCTGTAATACTATGTTTTTTCTAGATAAAAAACTAAAATTTATTCCAGAAATGAAACTTATTTAGTTAATTGGAAAAAATAAAAGGACTTGCTAGGTACACGCATAGCAAATTAAATAATGAAAAAAAAATATCAAAATATTCTGTGATAATGACATAGGTAATAACCGTACATATTACGTTCAATTAGTTAATTAGTAGTATATTTCTTATTTATGGGACACATTTTTTTTTTTAATTTGTTTTTTTTTAAACTAATGTAGTTAAATACGGTGAAAACGATGATGAAGTCAGAATTTGGAGCTCGGAAAAGTTTTGAAGTTATGACACTTCAAAGTTAGTAGGCACTTATATAACATGTTAACTTAAGAAATTCACAGATTCGGGCGGTCTATCCTAACTTTTTTTTAAATTGTTTTTATGATAACTGATGCAACAATAAATTAGTAATTACCCTGTGATCTGCTTGAGGTGGTGTTTCATAACAAGTCGAGGGATATATTAAATTTTCGGAGCGGAGGCACGGCACTGTGTGGCGTGTGCTGCAAACTGTGTAATCACTGCAGGTCTGCACTATTTGAAATCTGAAGGGTCATAATTTCGAAATTATGTCCGACCGCCAAATTCTGACTTCACCATCGTTTTCAGCGTCCTTAATTACAAAAGTTTAAAAAAAAATTGCAAAAAAAAAATGTTCCGCACGGCGCACAGTAGAAATGTTCCGGATAATATGATTGTTTTTATAAAATAATAACGTTTGATAACAGTCGGAGAAATGCTTACGTCACAGACATGCGTATCACAAAGTTGCTGACATACCTATTTAATTTGTCATGGTGGTTTGTGGTTAATTTACATTTTCCGCCAAAACGGCTGGACTACGCGTTGGTTACGCGTTGGTTTTTTTTTCAATAAAGTGCGAACTTTCGTGTCGAACAAAACGTAAGTATAATATTAAGTATTTCCATAGGTAGGTAGGTATTACTCTTACAAAATAATATTTAATGTTCATAGCTATAAAGTTTAGGAGGTACCTGCATATTAGTCGTTGCTTCTAACTTTAATTTTCTTTATAATTTTTATATATTTTAATAATAGTTAATAAAAGTATCCTACGTACAATGTTATAAAATATAATAGCAACAGTAAAATAATAGTCAGGTATTATGATATTATTACCTAGTTATTAGTTGAATAACACTCAGCTATTAACTATACAACTATATAAAAATATGTTTCGTAATGAAGGCTTAACTATATAAGTCTGCCAAATGCAGACGATTGTTAGATGCAAATAATTTTATTGAATATTTATCCGATGATACTTATTTAGACATGTCACCAAATAATAATATTGACAATACTATTTCATCTGAGCTAAATAATTACAAGTAAAAAGCAATAGTAAGTATACATATATCGAGTTTAATATTGTTGGGATACAGGACTTAGGAGTATCAGTTGACAGTACGATTAAAGATGTTTAAATTAAGTGAATTAATAAGTGGCATTCTTTTTATTTAGGAACAAATTGTAAAGTTTTATATTAAATAATTAATAGCTAGAGTCGTCTATTAAATTATTAACCATTATGACAAGCACCAGGACTAAGCAACGGAGAGTAATGGAAGAACTAGATTCATACAACTTTCAGCAATTCCATGAATCTCCTGTTAGACTAAATAATAACACAATCAATGAAACACTATTAGAGGTAGATAGTTCACCTTTAAATAAACATGAACTTAAGCCCCAACACATAAGATCTAAGGTCAGTTAAAACAAATACAAAAACTACTGCGGAAACAAAATAATTTAACTTGTTTTTAGATTAGGTATTATTAATTTAAATTAGATTATATTATAATACAATAGTTTACTAAAATAATGCAACTAAGACAGTTTTAAATTTTCTAAAAATTGCATTGCCAAATAACAATATACCTATTGACTATTCTATTTTGTATAATATGCATGCAAAAGTGGAATACATGGGTATATATGATTAACAGTTAAACAATATTATTTAAACTTATTACATTGAGCATAGTTTAATGTATAGTAATTGTCTGTGTATGTATCAGAATGTCTAATTTATTTGTCATTATAGTATGGCTCAGATTTAAATATTAAATAGATATTTTTACTGTGAATTGATTATTTAATTTAGGCAAGTGATGAATTTGTTTCAAATGATTTTCAATTAAATGTGTTGTATTTTACATGACGTATTTTAAATACATGTTTTTACGAGTGTTTTTATGTCCTTTACAATAATTCTGTTTTTCTCATATTTTGTCAATTTTTGCAATTATATACCAATATATACTGTTATATGTAGTTAAAATTAATTTTTATTGCTGATAAGGTTCATGGTTTGGTCTACGTTTGTTCATTGTTTACGAGTCATATTAAACTACTTAACTACCTAATATACTTTTTTTAATTTTGAAAACACCTACTGAAATCTACTAGTTTCTAATAGAATTTTTTCAATGTTAGTACCCTTACCAATAACTCATCAGCCAACAACTTTGATAAATAAATTGTATTACTAAATAATAAATTTTGATATTTGTGTAAATTTTCGGTTGTATAAATACATATCTTAGTAGTACCTATACTAGACAATTACTATAGTAATTATATACATTCAAATCCAAAGCCTTACTCATTGCTTACCTATCTAAAATTTTGAACTAAATTATTCTAAAAACAGGTAAAATTAAAATTTGTTTGTGCTATAATATTTAGGTAGGCATCTAAGAAATGATATTATTTTTTGTTTCTTTTAACAGGCTGTAGATCAATGTCAAGCATTGTCATTAGATTTTACACCTAATGTTCCTTTAAATTCAAACGATATACCAAGTTCAATTGAAACACTAAAACATGAATTGGCAAATTGGGCAATTAACTTCAACATCCCGCGTAATGCTCTTAACAAATTAATGCTAATACTAAAAAAAATACCTGGTTTAACTGAACTTCCTAAGGATTCTCGTAGTGTATTAAGAACTAGAAAAATAAATGAAACTTCTAACCTAACTATGGTTGATCCTGGTGTATACTATCATTTTGGTTTAAGTTTGGCTATTAGAAGACATTTTAATTTAACTCCAATAAATAATGTAGACTTGGTAAGAATAGTTGTTGGCATTGATGGTCTGCCTATTTCAAAAAGCAGTTCAAGTCAATTTTGGCCAATTCTGGGCTATATACGTCCTATCAATAACGTCTTTCCTATTGGGATTTATTGGGGCCACGAAAAACCAAAATGCTCAAATGATTATCTTGAACAATTTATTTTAGAAGCTAGAGAATTGTTGTTAAATGGAATTAATATAAATTCAACTATAATTAAAGTTCAAATAGATGGTTTTTGTCTTGATGCACCTGCTAAATCCTTTGTATTAAAAATAAAAGGTCATACAGGATTTGACTCCTGTACACGTTGTACAGAAGAAGGAGAATACCTCCAAAACCGAACATGTTTTCCACTAACACCTGCCAGTTTAATCAAAAGAACACACAATGATTACATTACAAGAAAACACGATGAGCATCATGTTGGCAGTTCCATTTCAAATTTGTGTAATCTACCAAGTATTAATATTGTTACACATTTTGCATTGGATTACATGCATTTAACATGTCTGGGAGTTATGAAGAAGTTGATTGGTTTATGGATTGATAAGGGACCCTTAAGTGTACGAATGCCAAGTTTGGTTTGTAAAGAATTATCTGCATTACTGTTATCATTAAAACCATTCATACCATGTGAGTTTGCACGAAAACCCAGGGGCTTAAATGAACTATGCAGATTCAAAGCTACTGAGCTACGACAATTATTAATTTACACAGGTCAAATATGTTTTAAAAACTATTTAAGTGAAGACTGTTATAAACATTTTATGACGTTAAGCATTTCTATGAGAATATTATTGAGTAATGACTTCACTAATTACGTAGACTATGCTCAGGAACTCCTAAATTATTTTGTTGTCAATTTTGAATTTTTATATGGTAAGCACTTTGTGTCCCATAATGTCCATGCTCTAACACATATAGTAGATGACTATAAGCATTTTGGCCCTCTTGACAATATAAGCGCTTTCCCATTCGAAAATTATATGAAGGCATTAAAGAAAATGGTCAGAAAGCATGAGTTGCCACTTCAGCAAGTAATTAAACGTCACCATGAGAAAATAGATTGTAATATAGATGATAATAATAAAAACAAAACTAATGTTCCCATATGTAAAAATGAACATTCAAAAGGACCACTATTAAAAGATTTAACAGGATCTCAGTACAAAACTTTATACTTGGAAAATTTTACAATAAAAACCAATAATATTGCAGACTGTTATGTGTTGTGTAATAACAATAATATTTATCAAGTAAAAAACATAGTAAATGTTAATGACATGGACAAAATAGTCATATTGGGCAATGTTTTTTTATCTAAAAAAACCTTTTTATGAAACACCTATTAATTCAAATATTTTTAATATTTATGAAGTTGATAATTTGTCAGATGAATTAACATTAATTAATTTAGATGAAATTAAAAGAAAAATTATGCTTGTTAGATTGAATGATGGTCAACAAATATCTGTGCCTATACTACATTCACATAATTGTTAATTGTAAATAAAGTACTTCATGAATGTATATAATATGTAAATTAATAAAAATTATTTATTTGTAAATATTAAATAATAATATAAAAGATATTTATGTAAGTAAATATTTATTATTCTTTAGATTTTAAAATTATAAACCCATTTTAAATTATGTATTATATTTTATAAACATTTATAGGTTTTGCAAAATGTGGATAGTAGTGAGTTTTGATGATGATAACACAGTGGAGTGTGTACCAAATTTTTGGTATAAAAATAATCTATGTGCTTGGCCGAACAAAACTGTAAAATACCACACGAAAATGATTGAACGTCGTTATAATCCAAATAATCTGGAATTTGATTTCTTCAAAGCAAGAATATTAACAAAAAATATTGGTAGTTACAATAAATTATTCTGCAATTACTATTTATTTTAATAAAAAAAAATTATTATTTAGATAATTTGTCTGAAGCCAGAAGAAAAGCTAAACTTGCTGAAGAAACATCTGAACTATCCTCTGCAGCTAATTATGATAAGGAATCCAGAAAAATCAGACATAAAAAATTGAATTCAAGTAGCGAGGAAATCTCATGTAATGAAAACCGCGAAAAAAACCATAGACTAAGTCAGAAGAAAAATGTTAGAAGTTTTTCAATTCTTGATAATCCCCCTCTATTTAATGTTGACTTTGATGAAGGTATGATTTAATATTTGATTATTTATGATTTCAAAATATATAATATATTTCTAACTCTTTTTTCTTGTATAATACAGTTATTCAAATCTATACATTAAGACCATATTTTCAAATTCTTGACATTTGTTTCGTAGGTACCACAGTATAGTAGTACCACAAGTTTTTTTTTTACTGTAAATTTTGTTTAGTAGATCATTTTGAAGATCTAAATTGGATCAAGCATAGCTCATGAGTTATTGATATGGAGCTATGATGATTTGAATATTTTAGTAATTATACCTACTAATTAATATAAATCTCTCAACATTTATAATTTGTAAAAATAGCTAAGTAAAATAAATAGTAGAGCCATTTATATTTTGTACATTTTTCTTTTAAAACTATTTTTGAGGCCTATATCTTTAATACATTTTGATAATTCAGAAACTAATTCAAATTTTGATAAAGATACTTCAACATTTTAAAAATAATTATTCACTTAATAATTTACAGTCAAAAATGGGTACCATTTTGAAAAACAAACATTTTGTATCGCCACTCTACATAAAAACTAAAAACTAAAGAATTTTTAAATATTATATATTAGATTTTGTAAGTTTGTACTGGAAGTTTGGGTGAACATGCTATTAAGGTGAATTGTCCTATATAATAGTCTTATTTACTTGTTTTTTACAGATAGTAGTTATGAACACCATCATAATCCAATTAATCAAAAGACTACTTCAATGCATTCAGGTATTTTAATTTATTATTTTTTTTTTTTTATCCTAATAATAATATTGGTACTAAATTGTATAATAAACTAAATTTATTTTACTTCCGTACAGAACAGATCTTTTTACATACAACACTTTTTTCTGTCAATTAATTTATATAAGCATTATTTATTTGAATAATTTTATATTGTATAGGTTCACCAAAAAAAGCTCATAAGAATTTAGTGGATGGTTTGACTTCACCAACAGAAAATTTGAACGTAAGCCAAAAGGAAATACATTCAACAAATTCTAATGATAGACAATTTGGCTTAAACTCTATGGCAAATACCCCAGGTATAATGTTATTTACTGAAATAAAGACTTATTTTATATTGCCTATTTTAAACAATTTTTCATTTAAATTATAGGTTCATCTAAAATATCCAAGAAAGGTTATTATAATAACAGTTCAGAATCTTGGTCGAGTTCACCATTAGAAAATTTGAATACAAGTCAAACAAATATACATTCAAAAAATTCTTATGAAAGACAATTGAGCCTTATCGAAAACACTCCAGGTATAATGTCATTTACTGAATTTCAATAAAATATTTATATTTTATATTGCCTATTTTAATGAAACTTTTAATTTCTATCATAGGTTCTTCTAAAATATCCGGGAAAGTTATAAATACAGAATCTTGTTTGAGTTCACCATCAGGAAATTGGAATGTTACTCAGGATAATAGTGCTGTTTTGGTGAAATCGAACAGATGTAAGAGACGTATAGATTTCAATTCAATAGTGAACACTCATCCAGGTACATTTAAATTTAAATAAATTAATATCGGTATTTTGTTTACTGTTAGTATACCTAATAACATTTTACATTTACATTTTAGATTCTTCTAAGGTATCTAATGATAGAAATATTAAAAACACATCTAATGGTAAATATTAATACTATTCTTTATATATGTACTATATAATAGTTCCTAAATCTTAATTGCATTACATTTGTTTAGAAAAAATAGATTTACTTCTTCGAGCTGTTACCAATTTGAAATATGAAATGAGAGAACATGGCATTAAAATTGAAAGACTGGAACAAACCATAGTTAATAACTGCTTAAACAAGAAGATGATAGTTGATTACAATGATAATACTACAGATGATATGTTTGATTTTCCAATAAAAACTTTAGAAGAACTAAGTATATTTGAAGACAAATTAATGGATAATAATTTTAGACTTCAAATGGTAAGTATATTATCATAATTATTTCAATATACATCTTATAAAAGTATAAGTGTATAGATGGGTTAATTGGGAGATATTGTTTATTACTTGCTGTGTTACACTATATAGTTATAAGACGTAAAGCTCTTTATAGATCAAATTTCATTAGTTTTTTTTAAATAAAATTTATTCATTTTTTTTTGTTGGTTTGAATTATTTTCAAAATAATTAGTTTTACAGCTTTAAAACTAAATTAACTTACAATTCATGAAATATTTGTTTTATTCACACTATACATTGTTTAATATATTATGGGAATAGGTTCAATACCCTTAGAGCTGACTAAAATATTCATTAACAAAACAACTAAGTTCATGATAATATATTTTATTAAACTAAATATTTATACTCTTAAACCATTTTCAGATAAATTATCTATCCAGATTGGAACGTCCAAAGGTAGCTGATATGACAAGACAAATAATGGCCAAAGTTTTTCATAATAATATACTCTCTGTGCATTCTTATATCGGACAAAAAAAGAAAAATGTGTTTTCCGTGCTCAATTCTTGTTCATTAATATTTGGTAGACTATATTAAAATAATTCATGTTCTCTTGATGTTATACAATTAAAAAAAATAAATATTTCATATATTTCAGCAACTATAAGAAACATACCAAAACATAGAAACTGTACAGATCTTGAAATTGTTGGTCCATTAAAAATGTACATGGCTAATGCCAAATTCCGCGAAGAAAAAAAGCAGCAATCCATCTCTAATGCATAGTTATATTATAAATACTACTATTGTTAGGTTATTATGGTATAGAATTAAAAACTTATAAGGCTATGTAAGTTAAAGTAGATATGTGTCAAGGAAGACATGTAAAACAATATAATTTAGGTTATTAATAAAAACGCCATCAAAAAAATTTACAGTCAAAAGTATAAATGATTTTATAACTAAAATGATATTTTGTATTTTTGAATTTTAATTAAGTTAAAAGTTTAGTTAACTATTGATATATATATATATCAATGGTATATTTAAATTAAAATTGATTTATGAAAATAAATACTTCACTTTGTTATTTGTTTCATTTATTTTATTCTTTTGAGTTTTCTCTCTTTAAGATCTTAATTTCCTTTATACGTAGACAGTGGGACTGAATCTTAATTTTACTTGATTTTCCCCAACCTCGTATATAAAAATTAAAAATATAAAGATATTATATTATATAATATACTTGTATGCTTATTATTTTACTGAATTATTTCTGTATTATATTTATTATAATAAATAGACATGTTTTCTTATGTTGATATCGCTGGAGTTGATTTCTTTGTATTCATATAACCCTTTTAAAAACTTAATTTATTTGATTGTTTGGATTTCTTATTCCATAAACTATTAATTTGACATAAATAATTTTATTTTATTTTGAAGAGTATAATATTATTAAACTATGTGTTATTTAACCAAAGTATAATGTTAGACATCAAATTCTTAATCCAAAAATCAGTGTTTTAATACAAAATAATATGTGCAGAATGGATATTTTATTATATTATAATATTTCTAAATAATAGCATTGAGTATGGATAGTATAGGTATAAACCTTGTATAAGTTAATTCCAAATTAATTATTTATTTTGTAAAAGTAAATTAAATTTGTTAAGAGTAAATGTATATCATTTAGCATAATATTAGGTATAATAAAGGAAAATATTTTAAAATTAATTTAGAATGTATTTTTAAAATATGATTAAAATATATTATAGTTTTGACAAAAGAATTCATAAAACGTCATTAAAATATTTTAATGTTATATAATTATATTTCCTGAAAAATATTTTAAATATAAATTATAAATTACGAGTGAAAATATTTTTAAAATAGTTAGAAATATATTTTCAAAATGTCTTTGAAATATTTTGAAAGTGTATTCAAGACGACAAAAAATATTTTCAAAATATCATTAAAACATTTTGTTCCGATATAATTATATTTTTAAAATTATATATATTTTCTGTAAAATATTTTAAAAATAATTTAAAAATATTAAATTGCTGTGTGGGGTACACGTACGGGTAAACTCTAAACTTTCCATTAATTTTTTTAATTTTTCCCAAATCGTTTGAAAACTAAAGAAAATTTTAGATTCTGAGCGTAGTAATGAATGTATTGCAGGGCTTGAAATCGAAAAAAAAATTTTGATTTTAATTTCAATTTTGATTATCGATATTAGTTTTTTTAGATTTCAATTTTGGTTTCAAATATCGGTATTTATTTTTTTCGATTTCGGGTTCACAACAGAATGTTATCCATGACTTATAATAATTTCCCAAATTTTAGTACATCATCAGCATAATAGTGTTCTGTATGTAGGTAGTATATTATATTTAAATTAATTTTTTTATTACCTATCTTATAAACATTTTGTACAAACTACAATATTATTATTAAAGTGTCCCTACAATTAAAAAAAGGTGGGTAAGTGGATGTCGCTCTGCTGTACAGTAGGTGGGCAAGTGGGTCACTGTTTAATGGATGGTATTAAATTTGAATTCAATGATATAATATCATTGTATACGAAAAACGATTCTGAGCTGGTACGGTTTGTCATATGAATTAATATTATCATAAAATTACAACAAAATAACTAAAATCGTTTTTCTTGTTTATTTTAAATGTAGGTAATTTCGTCCAAATATGAACATAAAAAAACTATAAAAAAAAACTATGTGTTTATATTTTTGAGATTTTTTGGTTACAGAATAACCTACTTACGTGCTACCTTGTTTTTAATTTTCAATCCTTAGCTATGAAAGTTGAAAATTTTATCAATTTTTAACTACAAAATAGTTTTTAAATTTTAAATTTGATAAAAATTAGTTAAAATTTGAACTTTGAATGCTTATAAAAAAAAATCGTGCCTATGTATTTTTGATAATTTTCAACTACTATTGTAATAATATATCAGGAGTCTTATATTACATTTTTACGCTTTTTGGGCCAATACTAGACATTTTATACTCAAATGTAGATTAAATTACCTACATATTAAAACCAATAATAACGATTTTGGTTAATTTGTTGTAATTTAAAAATATTATTCATGGATAGGTATATGAAACTTTTAGAGTATATTGTTATATTTTATACACACAATGAAATTTTTAAGTGTAATTTTTTTGGTCAATATATATTGTTCTTATTATTATTATCATTATTATTATTCAGGTCATGAAGTGCAAAAAAAATGGGCTAATTTACGGACTTGTTTTCGTAGAGAATTAAACGCCCAAAAAAACACAAAATCAGGACAAGCTGCAACCAAGAGGCGTAAATATGTGTACTTTGAAAAATTATTATTTTTACTTCCTTGTATGGAAAATCGGCGAACGGAAGGTAACCTGGAACCAAATGATTCTCATGAAGACGAAGACGACAATAACGACCCTGGCCCTACCACTTCAACACCTATTCCTCATCGGAAAAAAAGGACTAATGTATCGAAACCAGACGAGTTGGACGAAGCATTAATTAAAGCATTAAATCAGCCGGTTGATGAAGATACAAATTTTGCTTTATCTCTTGTCCCATCACTCCAGAAATTAAACGCAGAAGAAAAACTCGATGCTAAAATTGGTATTCTTAACATTTTTAAACAAATAACACTAGCAAGGCGTTTTGATACTAGTTCTCAATCAACAAGTAGCTACAATGTCTTACAGCGACCGTTGTCTTATCCTGTATATCATCCAGGGAGTAACATGCCACCACCACAAATATCTCAGCATTCAAATTATACGTCCAGTTTTGCCACACCACGCGGTCTGCCTACGTTTCAAGACATTCAAAATACTCCATCGCCAGAAAATTCTAATGATACAGTTCGTTCCCATTTTTCTAATTTTTCAGATGATACGGAAATATATGACTTATAATATAAGTATACTTTTAATATAATATTTTTTCTTATAATATAATAAATAATAATATTATTCATTTATTGTTCAATATACCTACTTAGTTTTGTGGTTTTTAACTTTAATAAAAGAGATTTAATAATTTTTGTGGTTTATCTTACCGTATCGTAACACTCAATCTTTCCTCCACAGGTATAGAGAGTCTTAACTGTGTATTCTCCTTCGCTATTGCTGGTCCAATTAATTTGACGAGTTCATTGAAGCTGGTTATGCTCATTCGATAGTAGCCAAAAAACTTTTCTGGGAAATTCAATAATTTGGAATGCAATGTATGAAATTTTCCCTGCAATAATCTGTTACTACAGATTGGATGCACCCAATATTCTCTATTTCTCTTCTTCATTCCCTTCATAATCCTTCTTCGTTGTATTAACGCAATAATAACATTTCTTGACAACATCTTTAAGCGAAAGGTATACTAAAAAAGCGACTGCTATCGTCAGCAGAACTCAGTATAACTAGAAAAATCTTTCCAGAGCAGTCGGCCGACTATTGGCTAGTTTGCGTACTCACCACCAACCAAACTGTTTAGTTGGCCCAGTGTGCGCGATAATAGCCCAACCCGACTAAACTATCGGCCGATATAAAGTCTGTAGTCTGCGATGTCTCTAAAAATCGATATTCATCTACAACCAATGATGCGGAAATAATGCAAAATATAAAAGAAAAAGCTAAGGAAAACATAATTCAAAGTCAAGAACAATTAATACCTGTACCAAAGAATATTATTTCTACTCCAAAACCAGATATAAATGAGTTGCGATCAAAAAAATATTCCAGATTTTTCAACGATAATAATCAAAAATGATTTTAAATGTTTTAAAAAAAAAATATTACTAAAAATGTTTTTTAGTTTTAATATTATTTTAATACCCATACATATGTTGGATCATATGTTTATATTTATATATATACTTTATAATATTATACATGTCTATGTATAAATTATTATGCATATTTATGAACATGAATATAATATGATCATTGAACATGCATAAATAATGTTATATCATGACGTGTTCTATACTCTTATACAGAGAAATTAATTTACTTTGTGATGTATTTTATTTTTAAATTTAGGTATATATGTAATAAGTAAAGTTCTTACAATCATTTGTTTTATTGTTATGTTTTATACACAATTACAATTTAGAATACATTCTTTATAAATTTAAAATGATAACAAATAAATTGTGTTTATCTAATTGGGTAATTTACTTCCATTTTTGAATCCAACATAAACTCCATTCACTTCTGGGTATTTCTCTCTAATAGTTTTTACAACACAGGGTGGAATAACAACTCGTACACCTGATAAGGGTAAGTCTTATAAATAAATAGTTTATATTATGCAATATTACATTGGTATTATAATATAGTTATAGTTATTACTTATTAGTTATTATATAGGTATTATCTACTACCTACTTATAAACAGTTTAATATATATAATAAATGTATGATAATATTACCTTTTCCCAATGAAGACCACGAATTAATCCAATGCGTATATTGTGTGTAACAAATGAACCTCCATGAACTATTTGATAAAACTGACATAGTGAGTAATTTCTTTTTAGATTTGTTTTTTGTTTTTAGAATAATTTGATGACGGGTAATGTTTAGTATGCCTTCGTCTAAAATTATTTTTTTAAACAAATCACTCTCTGTTATACACTTATGTCCCGATCGTAAAGGTGTAACTTTTTCAAATTCAGCACAACAAACACACTCAATATCGTTACTAAAAATGCAACATTTTTCGCACGTACACCAATTATTTATGTTGGCCACTTTTGATCGTCCATTAACATCGATTTCCAAAAATGAATTATTTACATTTTGTGGTTGGATATCTGTTCCCAGATCATCCACTGTTGGTTCGAAATTATATGGTTGAAGGGCCATTAAAAAAATATATAATAAACATATATTAGAATATTATATCGTGTAACTAGAAAGGACCGCATTCACATTTCACACTGACACAGGGACACTGTACTTACTAGTTGTTAGTAGTAACTAGCTAAACACCAATACGAAATAAAAGATAACATTATTATTAATTATTATCATAACCATAAAGATATTTATAACTTTAATACGACGATAAGACTATATTGTTATGAAAAATAAACATCTATAAAATCGTATATAATTATAAATAAAATCATAGCACGAAGACTCCCGGGTTTTGGTGCCTTGCGGCTACAACCGCGGACCTCACATTAGCGCTGTGCGCTAGTCGAGAGCCGCGGAGGTTCACGGTCGACGTACGGTGGCCCAGTCCGCCGGCCGCGCGTCGTCTAAGGACCACGAGCACCGGGACCAAGGTCCCGTACCAAGAAGACAGGCCAAGTGCCGCCTGAATTCGCCTGGTCTGGCTGTGTGCTATCTCCACACCGAGTGTTTCTGGTAACACCCAACCTCCGATGATACTACACCGGTATAGCGGCTAGACACCCGAGAGGAACCGACAACGAACCGGAGACTCGCGCCCCCGGGTCGTGGCGGCCGTTCATCAGAGGTTTTCGCCTGTCAGCGAGAACTTAAAATAAGCATCTATTGACTTAACCACAAAGTATTCGTAAGAAAACCGCCACCACGATTCCTACCGGCAACGGACGTCCAGGGGCGTGAACCATCACTGGACGCCCGCGGTGAGCGGCGTCGTTGCCGACGGGGCCCCACTCACTCCCGTGGTACTGAAGCGTCTTCAGTCAGACTGTCACCCCCTTGAGAGCTACCAGTTCTGTCCAGCAAGACGGGCATTGGTTTGCCTTAGCCGCGGACGAGCGTCCGCGAGGTGCGAAATTAATCTTGGCCACCACCCTTTCGAGCCGTCATCAGCAAGGACCCCGTCCTTTGGGTCAGTCCCGACCCGGTGCCTGCCGAGCCGAGGCGCCCTGCCCAAACTGACGACAGCCCTACCTTTCGGTCAAAGGTGGGACTATTTGCGACGACCACCCTCGCCTACCGACTTAGGGGCTCTAAGCAGACGAGCCATCAGCCGCGAGCCCGCAACACTCACCGCTGTGTCCCGGAGACATGCCCGAACCCGGCTTACACTGAGACGCCCGGCTGCTGGACGGAGCGAACTCCGGCGCCCGTGCTCTCAACTCGTATTAAGAGCACCACCGGCTGGGTCGGTGGCCCAACCGGCGACCGTGAACCGGCCCAGAGGACATACTGTCCGGAACTACGGGTCATTTGATCGTAGCTGTCCGCGGCCGGGTATTAGTTATTCGCCGGCTACCCGACTCGGCGAACCGAGGGAACCGGGTTTCCCCCTATCCGCAACCCGGGGACGCGATCTATACCGTGCGTCCACGGTCGCGAAACTCACAGTAGGCAGCTGTGGTTTCGCTAGATATAAAAAAAAAAAAATAAAATCATAGCAGTAGGTACTCATATGAGTAATTAGTGACAATTGACACTATAATATGACAGTGGTGTAAATTAAAATATAATTGCTATTATTTCATTAGTATTCAACCAAAATTCAATATAATTATACGAATAGAAAGATTATGAGGTACTCTTAAACACATTTGGTTAGGTTATTCGAAAAAATATAAGTTTATTAGCAGTTACTTTACGTTAAACCAAAAACGGATAAACATTGCTGTGTATTGTATATGGCCGCCGCCGCGACGAACGAATCTGTGACGTCACGCGCAAGCTCTTAACTAGCGAACCGACAGTCACAAACGAATTTTAGTGGTATAATTTTTTTGGTCAAAGTTTGTACTTTAATTTAAGCCTGAGAAAAATGTTTGAGTTGGATGGTCCTTTAATAATAGTTGTAAGTCTGTACATGTTGATTAAATACAAGTGTAATCTACCCCGACTATACAGACCGGAAGTAGCAGAGTGTGTGCAACCCACACACTCCCATACTAATTCTAAAATCTTCAGAGCATCGGAACTCACGGATGAGGTGAAACATAGTGATCATTAGACCCCCATGTTTCATGTAGTCCGGGGGGTGTTGTGAACCCCTGTCTGTATGCTATACGCAGTATGAGATATAGTAATAGTATAATATAGAATAGTGTGTAAGCATATTAATGTGTGAACAGACAGAGTCACACGGACTAAGGGAATTCGCTTTGTGAACAGTTTTGAGCCCGAGCGAGCCCCTACCGTGTCTCGCTGTCTGTGTAATAGACAGTGTCGAACTGGCAGACCATCGAGCAGAACCTCTGTTAAATTACTTAAGTCTAATGAGTGTAGAACTGGCAGACCATCGAGCAGAACCCTCTGTTAAATTACTTAAGTCTAATAAGTATTCTGTACAACTAAATTTCTTTTAAAATTGATTATATTAATAAAGTATTAGTGATAACTCATACACCACGTATTTCTTTATTAGCGAACAAACTCGGTTGTGGAGACGTCCATAACAATACTATCACAGAATATTCCATGTTACTATCATAATATATCTTGTTGCTTATCAGGCATTAATAACTATTGAATATATTTTCAATTTTGATTTAAGAATTAATGTACTTGCCTATTTATTTGGTCAATATTTATATTGTATTGTCCTAACTATATTATATGGTTGTGATAAATTACAACATATAACCCAGTAGAGGCCTGAATAATATTATCTTAAAATAGCTAAAATAAGATGCTAATATTTAAAAAAGGTGGGCAAGTGGGTGTCGCTCTGCTGTACAGTAGGTTACAAGTGGGTCACTGTATAATGGATGGTATTAAATTTGAATTCAATGATATAATATCATTGTATAAGAAAAACGATTCTGAGCGGTGATGGTATGTCAGTCTATGTATAAGGCATATTATATACATATCTATGGTATTAAACAAAAAATTGACCTATAATAGGTACCTATAATAAATTCCAAATTAATCATATCACAATATCCATTAGATACTTATAACGCGTTATACATCAACAAAAACCGTGATACTATCATAGATATATAATAGTACACTTTAGAAGTTTCAAGTACCCACGAATAGTATTATTCAATCACAACAAAATAACTAAAATCGTAATTCTTGGTTTAAATATGAAATTTTGTCTAAATTTGAAATTAAAATGTCTGTAAAAAATAAGTGTGTTTATATATTTTTTAGATTTTTTGGTTACAGTATGAATTATTTAAGAGAATATTTGTTTTAAATTTTCAACTCTTAGTTATAAAAACTGAACATTTTATAATTTTTTAATTCCAACGATTGATAATTTTTGAGATTTTGATAAATTTTGCCAAAATTCCAACTTTAAATGCTTATAAAAAAAAATCGTGCCTATGTATTTTTAATATTTTTCAACTGATATTGTAACAATATATCAGGAGCCTTGTATTAAATTTTTACACTTTTTGGCCCAACAGATAAAACTTTATTGATATTTATAGAAAA